GCCATCTAATCTGCAAATAACATGAGCCACCCTGAGTGGGGAGGCAGGAGCCATATGAAAGGGAGGGAAGGAGGGACCGTTTCCGTGTACTTCAGCTCTTCACATGGACAGATGCTACTCCCACATCTCAAAGGCGTTGTTATTTTGATTTATGCTTCTTTGTAACCTGCAGAGCTCACAGGTTATTAAGGTTTTGTTCTAAGGTTCTAAGTTCTAAGGTGGTTCTAAGGTTTTGTTTAAGTTTGCAGGAGAGGGGAAATGTGAGTGTGTGGGAGGGGAGAACCTGACCAAAACACTATTCACTGAGTCATTAAATAAAATACGTCTTTAGAAAAGGCTTTAAAATTCCTAGTATATGTTCAGGCAAGATAAATTGCAGGGTTCAGGCAAGATAAATTACCCTGGCATAAGAGGCTAGGACTTTAACTCTTTGTCATCCCACATTTGCCATTTGCATCGCAGACAGGACTGTCACTGGAGCACACGGGGGCCTCTCTTTCACAGGGCAGACAGGCATGGAGGCCCTGCTCCATAGTAGAACTGCCAAATGATTAAAGCTCCCTACCCTCTGCTAGGGTCCCAATCCAGGTAAAGGGATGTGCATTTAACATTTTGTGAATAGCTTCTCTTCTAGTTTGCAGAGATAGTTCTTTAAACTCTTAAGACTGACAATGAGCATAATTAGGAAGGTGCTTTGAAAATAAGAGGGAGTTCATCTGCAGGCAGAAGCCAAGTAAAGATGTAGGTTTGGAGAATGTTCTGGACATGGAGCTCTTAGAGGCAGATGCTGCTATGGAGAAATCACAGCCATTTTCACTTCAGCTCGTAAGTGAAGGAGAAGCAAGATAGGATCCCCTTGTCTGCGGAAGAGACAGAAAAGAATAAGGTAATATACAAAGGATTCATCCAAGCAACCAGTTCTTTTTTTTCCAAATAATGAGATATTTCATTTTTTAAATTAGAACTTTAAATATATTTAAATTTTAAATATAAAGGAATCGTACATATACAAGGATATCACCCCCCCCCCGCCCCAGTTCTCCAAATACTCTGGATTTCAATAGAGATCTCTTGCATGCACTGGATGTTCCACCTTCATTAATATAGTAAAGGAGTTCTTTGGGGTGAGGAGGGAGCACAGTGGTGGAAACTTTGCCAGCACATAGTAAACAATTATAGCAGCCACTTAGTGTGATTCCAATTATGGCAGCAGAAAGTTTTGTTGAAGAGTTTTTGCCTGGTGCTTTACTATCTGGAATGCCATTCATCATCCTTCCTTTTGTTTAGGGTTGCTGTGAATGAAAATGGAAGATAGAGCACTTAGACAAACTCCCCTGGGTTGTAGCCAAGGGTGGCTTTGCCTTGTTAGTGGAAAGTGCTAATTCACACAAGTGAGGAGGTTGGTTTTTGCCAGCTTCTAGTCCTTTAGGCCCACCTCCCTCCCCAAAGATTGCCTCGATCCAGAACGGAGCATGGTGTGTAAGGCTCAGAAGGTGGGCTGGACGGATAAAAACCGTGCCCCCTGGCTGGCACAAGCCAAAGAGTTTTCCATGAAAGCCAAGTCAGCACTGGATACAGGGTCCTGAATCTGAGTCCTGCACATTGCATTTGCAAGTCATAATATGCAGAATAAAAAGTCTCTGAATACTACCGTGGGATAAGGAAAAAGAAGGGGGGACCCCTAAAATTCAGTTTGCATTATGTTGACAGCTATCCAAGAGAAAATAGGAAAAGAAGCAAAAATAATGAATTCGTGGATTAGCTGGGAAGTTCAGGGTCAATTTTGTATTGTTATAACATCTGTTCCACAGTGGATATTTCAGCAGGCTTCACCAGAATGCTTTTAGGGATCTTTGATGCAATTTTATTTTTTCAGTATAGGACAAATATTCCTGAGAAACATTTGCTATGTTAAAATCGTGTGTGTGTTAAGGTGGACTTGTCTAAACATCTGGAATTGAGGCAGGAAAATCCTTAGAGAAATGATGTATATCTCGGTATTCCTAAGAATAGGGATTTTCATCTTCTTTAGCCTTTCCAGCTTTAAACTTGAGGCTGTGGAAAGGAGCCTCCAGAAAAGAAATGCTAACAAGTTGTCTGAAGCCATTAGGATTTTGAATGCTCATAGGGTACAAAAAAGTTGGCAACTGTTTGGAGTCTAGGAAGTTGCATCTACATTTTGCTTTGTTTTTAAGGTCTTGCCATGAAAAAAGTGGGCTTTTAAAGGTGTTTTGGGGTCCCTATCCAGCTGAAGTTCAGCTCTTTAAGTTCACTGAGTTCTATGGAGATTAAGTACATGCTTAACCCTCCCTTTGAACTGATGGGGTGCAAATGGGCTTCAATTTTCCGAGGAGTCGTGCCCTTTGTTTTATTAGGAGTGTTCAAATATTTAAGGGCCCCATGGCAGGTGTTTGCCCAGCACCCTCCAAACTCCGAAGGGTAGGACCACCCATTTGAACACAGAAGTATGGAAGCCAGAATTGCCATTGTGGGCCCCTTGCCCTGCAAAATGTGTATATGCTTGCTCTCAGTGTTTTGCCCCTGCTCGCAAGGAGGAGGGATTCCTAGGGCAGGGTGCATTCCTTTCCTCCCTGCCCTCCAGTGCCTGCCCAGAAGACAGTCTTCCACCTCTGGAGGTGATGGCAGGTCCTGCTCCCAGAACAGAAGGAGCTGCCCTGGCTGCGAGGGTGGAGGGAGGCTGCTCCGACAGTGTGGCTGCTGCTGTGGTGTCACAGGGCTTGTTCAAGACTCATCTGCTCATGAGCAGGGAAGACATCTCAGCCAACCAGCCAGGGGCTGCTGGCTGTAGGATCCAACCTACGGAACAGAGCTCAGAACAGCCCACTGAGCTGGGCCATGGGCACTACCATTCCACAGATGGAGCACCACTTTAGGTGGTCTGATGACCCTCTCCTGAGATAAGGTATGAGTGATCCTGTCCTGCACACTTTCCATTGACTACCTATTTGAATGGAATAGGAATCCATAGTGTTTGTTTTCCATGCTTTTGCAGATGTGGACATACCTTTGCCCAAACCTGGCAAAAGTGAAGTAATTGATAAATTTCTTCCACTAAAATCAGTTTTCATTTTAACTTGGAATGGATTTGGCCCACAAAACTGTGATCTACAGATTTTCAGAGACATAGAGAGGGCCAACTATAAATGCGAGTTTTGTAATTGAAAATGCCCACATTTTCCCTTTAGGAAGATGGATTTGCATGGGGATCACAAGCCAGGAAAAGGGCAATCCCAGAACTGTAATTTGGGCCATTATCCTCAAGGGAAGTGTGCCAACGATTGGCAAGATCTTTGTATCAACAGTACAACATTAGCTACAATGATACAATGCCAAACATGTGGCAAAAGAAGTAATGAAGTAGCTACTGGCACATTTCATTAGTAGTGGGTATGTTAATGGATTCCAGAATAAAAGATTTTAAAAAATGGCCAAGAAACACCATGCACCATTCTTAGGTGGAATGGTACACTGGGTCCACACTTTTAATGTTTGCAAACATTTTGTGTATGTGTTCTGGCACTAGGTGGCTTCTGGTCGCCATCTTGAATCTGCCCAACGCACTGAAAGTTACATCAATGTGAATGGAGGAGATTGCCACAGCTGTGTGTTTGCTAGGAAAAACTTTGAGAGTTGCCAAAAAAGAAAAACTGTAGCCATGCTTTTGACTGGTAGCCTTCTTTATCCACACAAAGGAAGCTGGTCAGTACTGGTGTGCCCAAAAGAAAGCATCCAGAAGTGGAGACATCTGCGGGGGCGTGGGGAATCTACTTTGGTGCTTTGGCAAGGAGCCCCTCAGACTTTGCTCTGGCTCTGTGTATTTGTCCAGTGTTGAGATAACTTACATTATATCATCCCCAAGAATGAAGTTTGGGCAGACATGAATCTCGGAAATGGATAGTGATGATGTTTGTGAAACAGCACTGTCCCTATTTTGTGAATGCACCCATTTTACTAATGCTACACCAGTATTTTGTTTTGTAAAAGGCAGTGGCTTGAAAGTAAGGTGTGTGTAAAATACTGTGACTGTATCATATGCATGCACTACATGTGACATCCTTTTTTCATTGCTACATCTAGACATTACATTCTTGAAGATCTTGAATAAAATGTCCTTGAATATTCTCAGACGTGACTAGTAGTTCAATGAAACAAAAGGCAGTAGTGCCACCAAGTGGTCAGTCAAATAATAGTTTCCAATACGTTTTTCATATTAATTGAAGAACAAGCACTTCACCGGACCGTCCATCATCCCAGTGTGAGAACAGGGTGGTCTCTCAGTGCACCAGCGGCTTCAGTACACACTCACAAGCTGTGCAGGTTGGGCAGGCAGCTTGCGTGTGAGTATAAGTTTCCAGTGAAAGCCCAAAATGACCTGTCTTTGGACATTTGAAGGAGCCCACTCAGTGAGTGAGCCACAACTTTCAGTGCCAAGAAACCCATTTCCCTTGATTGCAGCAGGATAAACTTTCCAAATGCAAGCACAGATGGATGCAGCTGGTTAGGATGTTCTGTTTTAGAAACACTTAAAATAGATCAAAACCGAGTCCTGTGTTCTGTCTGTGGCTACAATAAGGAACACATTCATGAATATGTAAGTTACAGGGATTTCAATGGGTGGTTGCTTTGCACTTGAAGATGTGACTTGAAGATACCTTTTGGAATACAGCACCCAATGATTAGCAGGTTCAGTTCAGAAATAATTCTTTATCTTTCTTTTCCTTTCCTTAAAAAAGGTCTCAAAAGCACGCCCAGTGCGGTAATCTTCTACACTCAGGTGCACAGAGCGCAGGGTTAAAGGTACAATGGCAAAAGAAGTTACCTCTGGATCATTTAAAGAAATTGCCCAGATGTCCAGCAGGCAGAAAATGCTCTCAGCTTCTGTTAGGGAGTTTTTAAACACACCCCATATTCACACATCTTTGCACTGACAATGGTCACTTTGCTGAAAAACAAAGTTTTGTGCTGTGGTTGTTTTCTAGATGGGAGTCCATGTGGTGGATTCTGCTGTTGCTGGTTTGGGAGGCTGCCCCTACGCAAAAGGTGCCACCGGAAATGTAGCCACAGAAGATGTGATCTACATGCTTAATGGCCTTGGGATCAAGACAGTGAGTTATTCTTTAAAAATTTACCTATCAGGTTTTGCACACTTTCTAAAACGATGGAGGAACAGTTTCGACATAAAATAGTGTATGTGTGTGTGTGAGAGACTCATGGGTGTATGTGCGAGTGTGCATGCACGCACACGCACTTTCTCCTTCTCTCTCTCATACACAATTTATTGCAACCAACAGCACATGTAGCTATAAATCATTCTGCACTTATACTTTCTAGATTGATGACTGTGGGGAGATATTAGACTATTTAGCATGCTGACAAATGGCTGACCTCGCTGGCATTTGTTACAAGAAAATAAACTTGCTTCAAAATTCTGTTCTGTTACCCACAGAAGACTTTCCAAGGAACTATTATATAATCCTATTATTTCTGTGAGTAGTTAGATATATCTGGCAATTGGTAAGCACAGACAATTTGGCGTTTGCATTCATAGGATTAGAAATCTGTGCATGTAAACCCACACTGGATGCAACTGTGCATGGGAGACAATGACCAAGGGACATGAGACACTACCTAATACTGAGTCAGACCACTGGTTTATGCATTCCTGCACTGTGTACTCTGTCTAGCAGTATCAGGTTTCAAGCAGATGTCTTTATGAGGCTTGTTGCCTGCAAGCGGGGAGAAGTATCTGGCCAACCGTCTCCTGGTTGTAGAGCTGGGAAACAGTTGCTCCATGCCATGGCACTTATACCATGCGATTCTGCAGGCCTCCATTTTGTTCCCCTTACTATTTAACATCTACATGAAACCACTGGGTGAGATCATCCAGCAGTTTGGGCTGAAGTGTCAGCAATATGCAGATGACACTCAGCTCTACCTTTCATTCTCCTCTCATTCAGGTGAAGCCGTGACTGTTCCGAAACAGTCAGTGCCTGAGCTTGGTAATAGACTGGATGAGGACCCATAAGCTGAAGCTCAGTCCTGACGAGACGGAGGGGCTGTTGGTGGGCAGTCAGTCTGTCCAACTAGACAGATTTCAACCTGTCCTGGATGGGGTTGTGCTCCCCCTAAAGGACAAGGTTTGCAGCTTGGGGTGCTCCTTAACCCCGAGCTGTCTCTTGCTGCTCAGGTGACCTTGATGGCCAGGAGCATCTTTCATCAGTTTAGCCTGATTTATCAGCTACATTCCTACTTGGATGAGCAGAGCCTAGCCACAATCTTCCCCATGCTGGTAGCCTCTTGCCTGGCTTACTGTCATGTGCTCTACATAGGGCTGCCTTTGAAAATGGTCCCGGCACTCCCAATTAAAACAGAGCAGCACAGCTGTTAACAAGGACTGGTCCTAGAAGGCACATCACACCAGTCCTCCACAAGCTGTAATGGCTGCTTGCTGCCACCCAGGCCTAATTCAAAGTGCTTGCATTAGTATACAAAGCCCTAAATGCTTGGGCTTCCTTAAGGAATGCCTGTCTCCATATATCCCTACCAGACCATTAAGATCTTCCATGGATGCCCTTCAGTGGAAGCCCACCCCGCAAATGAAGTAAAGGGGGAAACAATAACAAGAAGGGTTTTTTTCTGTCATTGTGGCTTGCTTTGGGAACGCCCTTCCTAAGGAGGCGCAACTGGCACCCTCATTGTTTAGCTTCCATCGCCAGGTGAAGGCATTTTTATTTTGTACTTCTTTTTGTTTAATATAATTATGGTTTCATTTGTTTTTTTACCACTTGCTTTTATTTGTGAATTCATTGTCTCCTGTTATCATGTTAGATATTGTTTTAAGATGTTGGATCACTACTTTTTAAAATTGCTGATTTTATTCTGTGTGTCACTGTTTTGTGAACCACTCAGAGAGCCCTCGGGCAGCACACAAGTGTCATAAATAAATAAATATTATGGGGGGGGAAGGGCGCTTTATTTTAATAGAATTAGGCACACTCAGACTTCTAAAACAATAGCGATGGGGAATGCTCTTCATCTGGCTCTTAAGAGCAGAAGAATTCAGTCTGGAGGCCCATCTGTTCCAGCCTTCACTTTCCGTGTGGACCCACCAGATGTCTGTGGGAAGCTGGCAAGCAGAACATGAGTGTAATGGCACATTCGTACTCACATTCCCCAAGTGGTATTCAAAGGCGTGCTGATATTGGATGTACCATATAGCCATCATGACTAATAGCCATGGATAGCCCTTTATTCCATGAATGTGTCTCATCCCCCTTTTAAAACCATCCACATTGGTGGCCAGCACTAAACCTTATGGTAGAGAATTCCATAATTTGATTACAGTAGTCCCCCGAAATTTGCGGGGGTTGCATTCCTAGAGCACCCGCGAATTGTGAAAAACCGTGAATTTTGAATGTGGTAAAGGTTCATTGCCAGAAGCCTTAGAACAGGGGTCCTCAAACTTTGGGGGGCCAGTTGAAAGATGTCGGCGATGGGTGTGGGCTGCCAAGGCGGCGGGGCCGGGCTGGGGGGGGTGTGCACAGTGAGGCAGGGGCAGGGGCGGGCATGCGCAGGGATCGTTTTCTCCGAGTGAGTCCAAACCGATCTCCTTACAATCTTGAGGTGCTGGCTTGCTTGCACCTCAAGATCATTTGGACTCATTTGGAGAAAGTGATCTCCTTGCGAGCAAGCCGCCGCATGGTGAGGAAAATTCCACAAAAGACTGAGGCCACGAATGCTGAACTGCAACTTCACGGGGGTCTACTGTACGTGCAGTGTGAAGAATGTCCTCTTGTCTATCCAGAATTTCTAACCAGTCATTTTCAATGGATGTCCCTGGATTCCAGTATCATAAGAGAGGGAGGAAGGTTTTCCTGATCACTTTCTCTTCACTACATACATATTTGTGCATAATATCCTTCCACTTGACCTATTTTCAAAGCTAAAAGACCAAAGCACTGAAGCTTTTCTCAGAGAGAAGTTGCTCTAGGTCTTTGATAACTGTAGTTGCCTGTTTCTAGCTCTGCAGAATCACTCTAATTCTCTTGACATCCTCTTTCTTTTTACCACTCCCTTACTTCCTATGTATTTTCCTTTTTTGAAGTCCAGTGTGACAGGATTGGACTTCCTTGGTAGTTTCCCAGTACTTTACATTAAATTTGATAGCAGTGCAGTGAGTGTCCCTGTTCTGTTCAACAGCACATACTTCTCACAGTAGGTACCAGTTATGTCCAGGTCACCTCCACTCTGATCGGTTCCTGTTCTAGAGCAAACTTGTTTAGGGTATCTAGAAACATTGCCTGTCTCTTTGACCCTGCCAGTGTGAGAGAAGACTGCATTGACCTGACCTTGGTGACAGTCATTAAAGTCACCCATTGCGAGAACACTTTCTCCTCTCAATACTTTCCTCCTTTGGTTCCTCATGCCCAGATCACCCTGAGCAGTTCCTTCCTGTAGAGTTTGTACCCAGAGATGATACAAGGCTCCCTAACCAGCAGGCATGTGAGCAAGACTTTCGCCACTGATATCAAAGTGCAGGCAAGCTGGTGTCGTCCACCCATGTGGGCATCATGTGGTCCTCTCATGGATTGTATGCCCCTTCCACCTAGGGCACTGCCCTTTCCATGGAAAAGTGGATATGCGTATCCTACTCATGTGGTTGGACTGCTTACTTTTTCATTAACTTTCTAGTGAAAAAGCAGAGAGGGAGGAGTGGAGAGAGGAAGAACGCTTCCACTGTAAATGATCATAAGCCTCTGAGTTTGGGGGCTCACACTCAGCTTCCCGTGCATTTAGCGATGCGGATTTGCGCATGCAACCAACTAATTCTCCCAGGATGAGAATAAACATTTTTAAAGCAATGACTGAAACCCCATCTTTTTAAAAGCTACCTATGTTCTTGGTCTTTGAGTTTATTTTCTGATTTCCTAGCATTTCGCTATTGATAGCATGTACCACTTACTAAGATTAAACATTGTCCAATGTTTACATTTGACCTGAACTGTCTCCTGGCTTCCTTTCAGCTCCGTGTTCATGTTCTTGCTTTGTTGACTGAAGTTGCTCAAAGAGGGACACGATGCATGAAATGGTTTTTGAGTATCCTCAGATGTGCTGTGTTCATCGGTGACTTAATGTCTCTTTTAAAACCATGTTCAAATGATTTGTCACATCATTATTTAACTGAGAAAAAGCTGAACTTGAGCCATCTGAGTGTACTGCACCATAAAGGGCAGCTTGGTGTCACAGATCTGCCACATCTGTGAAGGTTTGTTGTGAGAACAGCAACAGTGAAAAACAATGTAAAGTGCATACGTTCTGGTTCTTTTTGCAGAATTGATTTGCCAGAATCACTGGGGATTTGCAAGCCTTCAGTTTGCAAGCCTCAGTGTCATTACACTTCGGACTCTAAAGCCTAGAAATCCTGCCATCAAACATCTACAGAATGTATCCCATCCCTCAATGCACATTCAACAAAATGTACTTCCAAGCATAAATGTGCATGAGATCTCAGCTTGTATTCAGAGTAGATTCTCTGGCACTTCTCTGAGTTGCTCGTTCACCTCAGCCTGAGGGCAGTTTTTCCTAAATGTATTTTTCCAAGTTAAAATTGCAAAATGCTTTGGAAAATAGGAACCGGCCTCTGCCAGAGCGGACAGTTTGCCCTGTGGGGCCTGTGTTGTGTACCCTGACTGTAGCTGGCTCTCCAGGGCTTTTCCCATTGTTGGTTACTTGACTTTTTAACCAGCAATTGCCCAGTGTTGATCTTGTGACCTTCTGCATACAAACATGTGATCTAGCAAGGTGCTTTCCTCCCTCTTCTTTCTTTCTCCCTCTGATAGTGTTACTGTTTAAGTATTTTTTTACAGGCTGAGTATTGGTTATCTCAGAGGAGTTGCCCCTCTGTTCTCCAGGTTAGTCAGTGTTCTGTGAAAACCCTTCCTGCTTAGAAGGAGGCTATCCCAGAACAATTACTCCTGTATAAAGGAAACAAGAACCTCTCCAGATGCATCTTCATCTTGGGAATCCTTGAATGCCCCAGTTGCATTTCATGAAGAAAGGGGGCAGAATGACCTGCCTTTACTGAACACTGATTAAAAAAAGGAAAACTAACCCAGTGACTTGTGCAGAGGTAGAATGGGACAGTTTGCTCTCGCTGGAATTCATGTCTTGAGGCTCACTAACTGTTTTCCTTGGCAAGCTGGGTTTCCCTGATGCAGAATGTGGGAATGAGTATTTGAGGGATTATTTGTCTAAAGCATTTGTTGCAAGCAACATTATGGGAATGTGTGTTAGGAGGTTGGCCTGGGACTTGAGGATCTGGGTTCTAGTGCCTCACAGCTCTGAAGCTCACTTGGTGACTTCAGGCCCGTCACAGACTCTCAGACTAATCTCCCTCACAGGGTTCTTGTGAGGATAAAAGTGAAAGGAGGAGGGTTCTGCTTTTCACTGCATATATATATTTAGTGATTAAATTCATTTTAACATTATTGTTTTATGATATTTGTATTATATTTTACTGCTTTGCTTTACACATTGTTGTAAACTGCCCAGAGAGCTTTGTCTGTGGGGTGCTATAGAAGTTAAATTAATAATAATAACAGTTACAATAATAATTATTATTATACAAGCCACCTTGTCTTCCTTGCAGGAAAAAGATTTAAATTAATGATTATAATGTGCACTATATTATCTTATTGGTTTATTTGTTAGAGTTATAGCTTGGCTTTTTCTTACAAAGAAGTCAGAATGGCTCACATCATTCCCTTCCTCCTGCTCTCAGTCTTATCCCCACAACAACAAACCTGTGAGGTAGGTTGGGCTGAGAGTCTGTGACTGGCCTGAAGCCACCCAATTGGCTCCATGGCCAAGCTGGGAATAGAACCCGGGTTGCCTGAGTCCTGGTTCCGTGATCCAAGCAACACTGGCTCCCTATCATCATCATCAACAACAGCATCAGCATCATCAATTTTGCTGGTGCTAGAGATTAGAGATGGGGAAAAGTATTAGAAACCTAAATTTTAGGGCCACCAACTGAGATCCTTTGACAAGAAGAATCCTTTCATCACTGCTATTAGGCATTCCACTATTGAATGAAAGGCCTGCCTATTAGGATGGTCTTTGCTATGGTGTATTTAATGTATCTGAATTTTATGCTATATTACTGTATTTGTGTTTTGTCTATGAACAGCCCAGAGACCTTTTGCTACTGGGCAGTATAAAACAGAAATAACATAAGTAATAACTTCCTTTTCCTCTTTCCCACTTACTGTTAGTTTCTTCTTCCATTCTTCCTTCGATGAGACTGGTAATCTCTTTCTCAATGTATTGTGTCAATACTTTTTACTGCCATCCCTCCAAAAAAGTTTTCTGAAAAGAAAAGAAGGTCTCCCTTTCCTTCAGACTCAGGTCTTCTTAATTAGCCACACAGATTCAACACGTTTTTGTCTCTAGGACAAGGACTGGCAATCTGATACCGTGGCACCTGGAAGCGGCTGGTTGCCACACAGTGCTCCCCCTGCTTTTGGTGCTTCTGCCAGTATTTCCCTACTGGTGCTTTTCTATTGGCGGCTAGGTGACTATGTGCAAATTGGCCTAGAGGCGAGCGCACCTTTTCAGTGTATTGCATACTGCACTTCCCTACTCCTTTCTCCGTGGAAACAGACAAGGGCATTGAACAGGCAGGGCAACACATATTGGGTAGCTGTAAGAATGTGTTTGTACAAGACTGACAGCAATAAAAATTACAAGCACAGCTGTTCAGTTTTCAGGAGCCAAAAGATATACCCCCTTTCCCCCTTTTTTGGCACTGAAAATAAAAGATGACAGCAAACTAAAAGGGGGGACAATCAAAGAGAGAAGGGGGAGACAAGATGGGTTGATGGGATAGGATGGCATCTGGAGGACCAAGGCCGTAGTGAGCCTGATCAGCTCTCTGAACAACCTGCCCTGCACAGCTTATTCACAGACTGGCTCAATATGTCATGCAAATGCATTATGATTATGCTTATTACATATGCAAATATTAAATGATTCCACGGTATGTAGATCATGAGTTTCTCTCTGGTTTTGAATATGTTGAATGACTTAAATAGGTAGAAGAATAACAGCTCTTTCCCTCTGTTTTTCAATTTTAGGGTGTGAATCTTTACAAGGTTATGGAAGCCGGTAACTTCGTTTGCACAGCCTTGAACAGGAAAACCAATTCAAAAGTTGCACAAGCCTCATTCTGTAGTTGAGCTGCAAGAAAAGCAGTGCAGTTTCTTAGAGTTAAATTTTTGTCCATCGATATGCTCTGTCTGTCTGTAGCTACAAAAGACAATCCTAACGCAAAGAATCATTTTGGCAGAGGAATGATCAATATCTGATCAGTCGAGGGCAGCTGTGTATGAAAAAATTGGTGCATACTTGTGGGTCTCATTGCCAAGCAAAACGCTTTCCAGCGTTCCTCTTGGCCCTTGAAAATTGCCGTCCTGTGTCTGACCGTGAACTATGTTAACTGGGTCCCATCAGGCTTCTGATCTTATTGAGGACATGGGGACAGTGCCCCCCCCACCCCAAGGAAGGGTAATAATGTTCAAGGGTGCAGATAAGAGTTGATGCATGCTTGCTTACAGTGTGAGGAGGCACATGTCTGTTTCATGCAGAGAAAATGCTCCTTCTGTCCATTGCTTTAACTGAGCATTCTTCAATAGGAGACGTTGCCCCAGAAGTACACCAGAGTCAGCTGAAGTAAGCTGTATTCCATGAAAGCTTGTGCTACAATATATTCATCAACCTTTTAAGATTCCTCTTTGCTTCCCTCCGATTCCTCCTCTTGAAACAAAAATGTGTGCTTTCTGGTGCAGTCTGCTGACCTATTTATAAAACGTACACCCCGCCCAAGAAAGATTCTGTACTTTGGCTCCAAATGTTGAATGAATGAATAAATAAAGTGATCTGTCTTCACCTGAGATTTACAAAAGCTTTTCTGAGACATAATTAATTTCCTTTCTCAACGGGTAAGGCTGATACTTCAGCATCAATATTTGCAATGCTTACCATCATGGTAAGTTCACTCTGTTGAAACTGCAGCTGAGAATCAGGGCTGAGACAAACCAAAGCATCGTGAGCAAGAAACTGAATGACCTTTGATGAAAATGTGTGGACTCCACATTGCTGTAGCAGAACTCCAGCCCACTGGCCAAGTGTTGCAGGATGCACCCTTGAAATAACGCGGGACACTCTTTGAGTGGAAACTTCATTTCTTTTGCCTGCCTTGGACTGCAAAAACAAGGAGGTTTGTGGGTCCTGTTTGGATTGGTAGATAGCGAGTTCTGCAAGCCTAGTTCAGGGGGGTCCTATTCCCATATCTTTAACTGGCATTTTAACCCAGTTTGAACATAATCGACAGCAGGGTTCTAAAGATAGTAAGTACATTGTTATTTTTTAATCAAGCTGACTTCTAATGTCATATAAATATTTGCAGCAGTCTATGAGGTCCATCATTGTGTGTGGCCTTGCTGTTCTACATTTTATTACTTCAGATTACCTCTTTTCATTTGCCAAGTCAATTATGTTATGAACAGGGAGCCAAACCCAGATTTGCTATGAGTAGCATTTTTGTAATGTTCTACTATGGTTGACATCTGTTAAGAATATGAATGACTTTATCTTGTTCCAAGAATTCATAGGAAATGGCAGCCTGCCATGTTTGGAAAACTTATGGCGCCCTCCTATAGTTGTTACATACGTTAAATTCATTGTAATCTGCTTTTATCCCATCCATTTAAAACAAAACTTAAGCCACAGCATTAGGGAAAATGCCACTTAGTGCAGCAGCTGTAGTTTCCATTTCTTTCAGTAGAGGAGTGTAAACTGCTGTGCAACGGTACTGAAAGACTGGAAGATGCAGGGCACGAGTGTTGCTCGGATCGTCCACTTACACAGTTGGGGTCAAACGAGCCCTTTATTCTTTATTCATGCAATGAGGAACCATGTGCTTTGGTGGGTGAGATGGTTTCTTGTTTTGTGTTGCTTTTGCAAATAGCTGCACTCTGGATTGGGACTGTGGGGTGTGTGCATGTGGAGAAGTTTAACAGTTTGGCTCCATCATAGCCTGGAGCTGCGTCTCACCCCCTCCCACACAGCAAGACACAGCTGCTACTTGCTACTTTTTACCCCCAGGCAGGAAAGAGGCCCCTGTGGTGCTTCTTGGTGCACATGCATAAAATTGGCCTTTTCCGACGTGAATCTGAAGATCTGCTTTTTTGTTTGTTTTTACCAGGCATGCGTCTGCTGTTGAAATGGTAGATCAGAAAAGTGCCTCTTAACTACTAAAGGTTCGTGGCTTCTGACTTTTGTAGAATCGATGGATGAGGGTGCAGTGAAATGGCTTTGCCTGCACTCAGATGAGCGGCACAGTCCTCTGCCGGTCAGCAAAAACTGCTTTGGGCAACAGTAGCTTTTGTGTTCGAACAACCCAGTCAGATCAGAATGGGAACTGTTTTAATCCCTTTGAAGTCCTACATGGCAGTACTTTCGCATTGTAGACTTTTGCTCACAAATCACTAGAAATATGTTATTAATCTTTCCCACCTCTGTCGAACAGAGGAAGTTGAGCCTGACTCACAAATTGCCCTGTAAGTTTAAACACAATGTTTTATATATCCTGGTGTAGGGAGGCAAGCTGTGTTGCGCCCCTCAGCTGCCTAGAGAATCTTCAGTGGGAATTGGGGCTTACGGCATCACTGGCAGTGGCATGGATGATCCATGGGAAAGGAGTGGAGAAATCACGGAGTGGGGCTTATGCCCATGTGAATTCACATGCATACGCGTAGAGTCCAGGTCACAATGAATGCAGTGTGCGGAGTGGGCTCTGTGCAAGCCCACAGTTTACTCCCTGTGTGTGAGGGAGATACCTCCATGCCACGGCCGTGCAGAACCTGACAGCACTGAGCCTTCAGGGAACAAGATGCTAAGCAAAGGATGGAACATCTTCGTTTTCTTCTCTTCACTGAGAAATCTGAGAAGTTAGGTCAGTGTGTTAAAGGAATAAAAGTTTGGGATGGAGGGAAATAGAAGGTGGGAATGAACTGGATGTGCTCAACAGAATCTTGCTCCATTCTTCATAAGGCCCTGACTGATGCTGGTGCCTTTTCTGACTTGTTTCCAATCAAGCTTGTACAGTAAGCGGCCCTGGATTGAAAGGCAGCTGACCTGTCCCATTCTATTCAGTGGGGCATTATCATCATAGCTATTTTTGTCAGCACATTTTCTTCAGGTAAGCCATTGAGCATAATATATGCAATAGGTTTCTTGGGTCATCCTGGGACAAATCTTTCTATATCAGTTGTACATAGTTTCTCCTCCCTGCAGAAATGCGGACTTGAGATTTCCTTTTTGTCATAGTCATGAATTTGCAAACTTTACAGAGGACAGTCCTGTATTTCAGGGAGCTGGCAGAGGGTGGTCCTTATTTGTAGATGCCCTCTGTTTGACGGGCTGTCTAGTTCAAGTCTGTTTTAAAGTCAGAGTAAAATAAGGAGGGAGAACAGGGACCTTGAGGTTGCCTATCAATAGTTAGAAAGCAGACAGATCAGACTCCAGACTGACTGGGACACAGTGGTGAGTTTTCTCATGTTTCCATCTAAATCATAGTAATTATTTCTAAATTTTCACCTAAACACACATATTTGCATGTGCACGTTACACAAATGTCTGGCATCTCATTTGGTGATGCATTTCCTTTTTGGGAGTGATGAGTAAGTGACCACCCTGTTGCTCATGGACACATCAGTATATGTAATCAAGAAGGTATGGGGAAGATCTCAGCGTAAAATGTGGAATTGTAAAGTGGACAGGCATAGTTTCTGGTGGAATTGCCAAGGTGAATGGCTGCAGTGGTGCAAATTCAACATACATTTTTTGAATCCAGGTAGCACGTGGGAAGAAAAGCAAGATTGCTAGGGCTGACTCAGAGCATATGGATCCCCTGCCCCACTTTGCCATGTGGGGGACACAACCCTTTCCAAGAGGAAGAAGAAGCAGCAGGGACGCAGAAGTTCAATAAAAATAACTATGGTTCAACTGAATGCCACCATCATCATAGCTGTTGGGTGCTTTGAAAATGGGCTGCAAACACTCTGGGGACATGACATCGTGTGATTCTTAGGGTACTGCATAGGGAAAAGAACCCCCCCCCCCCCGCATCTTGAACACCTTGTAATATAATCTATAATTACTATACCCCACACCCAAAACTCAGGGGATTTTTGCCACCCTCCTGAAGGTTCCCAAACATGCCCTGTACAACATTCATTGTGGGAAAAGGAGATGGAGGAAAATTAGGTGCACCTAAATTAGGTGCACTGATTCAGCTGTATAAGCCTTAAGTATAACCCAACCCTCCATGGTTCCTAGGGATGTATGAACAGGCAAAACATACGCTCACCGCAGTTATATGAATTCCATCTCAAGCCTCATTCCAGTTCGATTCTGTAACAGAAGCTTTACAAGCTTTCTTTTCCCTTTTGCAGGAAAATCTATGTATATTTCCATACATGTATTTGCAAATGTACACATAAATTGTGGGGGTCTTTGAAATAGGTGCATTCTTCTCCCATTGACTAAAGTGTATGTGTGCATTTTTTAAAAATACACATTCGTTCCATGAATATTTTTTCCAAAGTGCAGACACTCTAGAATGCATTTTAAGTCCATTTAATGTAGTCTGAAGATCACATTAGGAACTCAGAAATAGGTGGACTTTAATTACAAGTTGTGTCCATGTTTGGAAGGTAAAAAAGGGACTGAAAGGATAACATCCCAACCCTTTCTTCTTTTCCGTTGGACTAAGACAAGGACTATCTCACATGCTTATGTGTTAGAGCCCTTTCAGGGAGCTATATCTAATTGTGTTTCATCAACCAAAACCAGTGTGAAACCTAAGAGGTAAACTGGTTTGAAGCCACTTTCCATCTGTATTGTTAATAACCCTAGAAAGGTAAAGCCAGCTAATATGTGTGGATCATTTTGAAATTATCAAATGTAACACTTCTTAAATATGTCTATGATTTTAGCATATTTGTCCTTTTCAATAATATTGTAAATTCAAAAATTAATGAGATAGAAATAAACAAAGAACCTTCAATTCATTTGTTCACCTTGTTCGATACTACATCTTCTGATTATGATTTTAAAGTATTTTTGTTCCCATGTTCATGTCTTTGTTATAAAAAGGAGTACAACACCCCACAATCCCAGCTAAAGTTATGAACCATTGCAAATATTATTTAAATAATTCACTGGAATCGTATCAGCTATTTGGTTTTACTGCATACATCTGTTATTTGCTTTCAGCAGTGTAGCGTTTATCTTAAGCACAAAGAAAACACAAGGGGAGAGCCTGATATGTTAGGAAGTGATGCATTCATCAGCTACAAGTGAGCAATTTGCACATAAAGCCCTAGTAATCACCTGTTGTCTTTCCATCCAGTGTTGACATTATTAGGCTGTAACGATCCAGACTGAGTGGGTGCATTTACCTTTGATTCCTTAAAAAGAAGGCAATCTGTGTTCCAATTCGTTTTTATTGGTAATGGCTCACAATGGGCAAATTTCTTTTAGGTAACAGTATAGACTGATTCCGTCTCTCCATTGTCTTTCTCAGTTCAAGTCTGAATGACTAAACTTGTTTTAGAAAAAGCTTAGCATCCTTGAGCAATTGCTGATGCCACAGAACCATGTGAGGGAGGGGGATAGATGAGAAATGTGTTTGTTTGTTTGTTTTTATCAGGATGTACCCAGTCGGCATCTTCTGGACCGAATTTAGACTTGCACACAACCTGTGGTTGAAGGTGTACTTTTCAGAGCTTGCAATGTGATTTGCTGAGCATATTATGCAGTCCACAACATTTACACTGTTGAAAAAGGTATACCGATACATTCTGATTAATGGGAAAGTGATG